GCCGTCACGTTGTGAGCGTCTTATATATATACCAGACTAACATATATCTAGTAAATGCTAGGGCATTCACGAAGGTACAGGATAGTTCTAGAAACGTGGCGTGCCACTAGTCACGTGACCTCGCTGACGCAACAACATGATAATGCTCCCATGGCCAACTTTTTTTTACCAACGTATAATGTGACTGACCATCACATTATAACGCCCCCACGGCTAAAAAGTTGAGCATGTTCGGTATGACGGGTATTCGAACCCGCGAATCGAAGATTACAAGTAGAGGGCCCCTAATTTGAAAATCCACCTCTGTTCTTGAAGAATATTACAATACACATATAATTTATTTCTTTATTTATAAATTTTACTCCATACGCAACAACACGATCTTTAAAAATCGAATATGTGCATCTTAGATGTGACTTGTTCACATTTAACCCCTACCAGGGAAGTCCCGAAAATTCCTCGTTTACGTTCAGAATCATCGCGCCTCCCAGTTTTTAAAATCCTGGATCCGCCACCGACTCCTGCAGTAAAAGGTATATAAACATGTACGTGTAATATGTGTTGAAATCATGTAGGTGTCACCACTAGCCAAACTGAAAGGTATATAAACATGTACGTGTAATATGTGTTGAAACCATGTAGGTGTCACCACTAGCCAAACTGAAAGGTTTATAAACATGTACGTGTAATATGTGTTGAAATCATGTAGGTGTCACCACTAGCCAAACTGAAAGGTATATAAACATGTACGTGTAATATGTGTTGAAATCATGTAGGTGTCACCACTAGCCAAACTGAAAGGTATATAAACATGTACGTGTAATATGTGTTGAAATCATGTAGGTGTCACCACTAGCCAAACTGAAAGGTTTCCAACCAGATGTTACAAATTGAGCTTTCCAAAACTATAGCAATTAATTTCTATACACCTGGAGTGACACCAAAAATGTCTCATGTTATTAATGGTAACGCCCTGGATTGTGTGTTTACTTATTTTTTGTTTGTACAAAAAAAATTGTTCTTTTTTTTTTGTATGAAAACTTGAATGCTAAAGAAAATATTGAATTTGTATATATATGGCATTCTAACTTGTTATTGCTTTGTTTGTTTGTTTGTAATTAAGCACAAAGCTACACAATGGGCTATCTGTGCTCTGCCCACCACGGGTATCGAAACCCGGATTCTAGCGTTGTAAGTCCGCAGACATACCGCTGTAGCACTGGGGGGCATATATGACTAGTTTGTTTGTAGTTAAGCATAAAGCTACACAATGGGCTATCTGTGCTCTGCCCACCACGGGTATCGAAACCCGGATTCTAGCGTTGTAAGTCCGCAGGCATACCGCTGTAGCACTGGGGGGCATATATGACTAGTTTGTTTGTAGTTAAGCATAAAGCTACACAATGGGCTATCTGTGCTCTGCCCACCACGGGTATCGAAACCCGGATTCTAGCGTTGTAAGTCCGCAGACATACCGCTGTGCCACTGAGGGCTCTTGTTATTGCATACACGGTTGCAATTTTTACTGGGTACATGGGTGATATGCCCACCATAAGTTCCTCCACTTCTTAAACCAAAGTTACAAATACTACTGATTGCAAGTGAAATTGTAAATGTTTGTCATATAAACGAATAAATAATCAAATAAAGTACAAGACATCATTTATATTTGTTAAATTAATATATTTTATTTCAGCCCACTTAATAACAATTGAAAATGTATATACCTTTATCTACCAAAATACAATGTTTGAAGTCAAAAATAGCTTTTACTTAAAACACTCTACATTTACACGTAAACAATTTATGTTAATGATTAACAACAAGTAACAGTTCCATACATAACCTCTTACTCCCTCTATTACGGTACTGGCACCAGTTTGAAATACAAGTCTCCATGTATCTTGCTATTGGCAGCAGTCAATATACGAGAATTATTGTCAACAGTACAGAAACTGTCTCAGTCAACATATAAGTCTTGGTGCAAGTGATGTAGAAACTACCATGCTGTTGGCAGTAGTCAAAATACAAGTATTGGTGCAAACTTCTTTACAGTTAAAAAATACTAAATAATTTAATGACATTAATACTTAACACTTGTGCGTGCATCAGTTCAAGTGGAAGTGTATGTGTGTGTGTGATATGGTGGACACCCACTTATTTAGAAAGGTTTGGAGGAGCGGGTATTGGAAAATCAACTCATATTCGCTACTATTAAACGTCATTGTACATTTTTCTCAAATTTATTGGTATTATTATTAAGGGATTAGAAAGCTTGGCATCCAAGCTTATCATTATTATGTTTACTTTTAATTGTATCTTATTTTTGATCTGTATTTGTCAGAGACTTCTTACATTAATTTTGAATCTGAAACTGTGGAGGGGGGGACCTAAACAAGAT